TCGCCAGAGTAGGGTCAGTCAGAGAGTTGGGCTTGCCTCCTGCAGCTGAAATGCTGTCATATGGAGAAGAAATAAGGACATACAGACAATGAGAATAATAACATAATGATTATATACTAATCAAAAGAACATTAATATCAAACTGTAAATGAAACGGTAAAGAAAATAATAACTAAGTAAAATATGGCAGGCAAGAAATATTGAAAAGAGTTAGAAAACTACAAAGTTAACTTTTGTAGCAAGACTGAAAGCTCTCACCTGGTTTTGGCAGAACCATTGACCTCTAGAAGACGTGGAGTGTGCGATTCTGTGGGTGTGGAAGCTGCAACAGAGGGTGGCTGAGTTGGAGTCGTTGCATCACTTACTTCCACAGTAGGAGGCCGGAGGAATGAGGATGGGTGCTCAGCCTGTACACACATATAATGGAATGACACTGTGTGAATAATACATAGATATGATCAATATCAAAAGACAACTGTATGTGAAGTAGTTCAACACTCAAAAAAATCATATGCAATGAAAAACACTCAGTCACACACTACTGGAAGGTTTGTGGGTTCTATAGACTTGTAGGTTAAAATCTTATATCTGAATTAATAAACAAGCATTATTATATACCTTGTAAACATGCGATTCCTTGCCATCATTGTCTGGGTAGGATCCAAGTCTGAATATCACCTTGGAAGTGGAAAAATATTTTGTTATTCTTTATGAATAGATACAGACATAACTTATACATCCATAAAATATCAACTATCTACCATCTACAGTATAATCATGTCATATATTGTAATATGCAAAAAATGAAGTACCATAGATGTATTTCCTGATAACATAAACAGAGATAAAACCAGGAACTCTTTAAATATTTATATTAACTTCCTTACAATGTAATACTACTCAAAACTGTTCAAATAAATGTGAATGAACTTTACCTTTTATTGACTTCTTATTATTACAAACATACATGAAAACAAAGAACAAAAACTCTACACATTTTCTATTATCATCTGAAAACAGTAATAAACCTCCCCAATTGATTTTGCTGATTTTACAGATGGATACAAACATAATAAAAATAGAAGATTCATTAGAGAATTCTACAACATTGCAAAACATGAATCATCCAAGAGGAAACATCAATAAACAATCATTTTCATATGAAAAAGGATATTTTACAAAAGATCTTCCTCTTATTATCAAAGATATTCAAAGCAAACAGGACTTTTAGACATTCATACACATATGCACATATTAAACTACATTTTTTTAAGCCTTAATGTTTAAGTGACACTCACCATAAGGATGAACAAGTAACTAAGGCTTTTAACAAACTTTGTACAACAGACAGGACAAAAGAGCTTTAATTATGTGTATTTAAAGAGTTTGCAGGGGGAGTGGAGAGAGCAGAAGATTATATGAAAGTTTTCTTGCTATGATGAGATTAGATTTACTGATACTATGCATGGAAATATGTCTGTTTTGCATCTACATTTTTTCTATAAATTCTCTGATCTTGCAAAACAAAGATTTGATAAAGTATCAGTTTTAAAAATGTAATTTCATCCTTGCATATGGTAGGAAATTCTTCAAAATATTCTAAATCTATCTATACCACCATAATAGAAATTTCAAATGAGGACAAAAAATAAGTAGATTTTAGGTAGAATTATCAGCATTTCATCTTATTTCTTATTCCAGTATCTTTTACTGCTGCAGTAATTATATAATCTACGGCATTAACAAGTTCATAATCTTCTAAGATTGGACATCATACTGTATGTAGATGCAAACACAAATCCCTTATCTTTGCACTCATTATATACAAAAGGAAACAAAAAACAACAACGAAAAGTATTAGAGAAAGACTAATTTCTTGAGTCTTACTATTAGGAGTAGCCTAAATCACAATAAAATCCATTAATGTAAGAGTGAAATGTTATTGTAAAATTAATATAAGAATGTAACAATATCATGAAACATAAAAACATATTGTCCAATTGTAACAATACAAGGAATATGTTTCTTTTATCCCAGGAAACAGAATAATGAATAGGCAAATGAATGGGAAGTAAAGACCCAATTTCTTGATCTGAACAACCTGCCATGTCTTAAATACAGTTTTCTTTTGGTACTCAGGGAGAACAAACACAAGACTCTCTTGTAAACTAAAAAAAACTGGTCTCAGCAAATTACCATATCTTATTGCTCTATGTACTATGTACCTAAAATATATTGTACTGCATTTCTAGTTTACTAAATCAGTAATTTATCAAAAAGATGTTATAATGTATTCCATGTATTGCCTCTTTACAAAGTTCCTCTTTCTTTTTGTCTTTGGTCTCAAAGAAAGTGAGTTTCAACTGTTGCAAGAATAAAGGAAATAAGCATAATCATAATTTTGTATCATGATTAGGCCACATAAGTAAACATAATCATGCAATATTGTGAAATAATAGCTCTGATTTGACTACTGTCTGCACTTACTAGTGAGTGAAAT